GGGGGGGGGGGGGGGGGGGGGGGGGGGGGGGGGGGGCAATCAAGTTTCCATCTGTGTCCCTTTGGAACTCTGAGTGCATTATCCGCAATAATTCCTGGTCTTCAATGGACGGTCCAATTTTTTCATCTCCACTTGGCCTTGGAAAACCGAATGATATGTGTCGGGATCGGTATCGAGTTCAAAGCCGTTAGGACATGCAGTAAATAACGAGGTCCTACCGTCCTGTAGTGTGTAGGTCTTGTTGACGTTTAGAACGTCGGGCCGATGAACATTCCCTAAACACAGTCGCTGGGCTTAAGGAGCATTCTGGGGCCCGATTCGATGATCCAGTACATGATGGAGGGAATATTTCCGGCTATCTCTTGGAGATGGTGATGGTGCACTGCTGATTCATACGTAGGGATCTCTTCGCGTACGTCTGGAATCTGATTACATTCTATTAAGGTTGGAAGCGACAATCTGATGGAATTGTCCAGCGCATCGATGGTGTAGCCAGAAGCTCTCCTGCCAGAGGCAGTGGTGTAACCAGCACATGATGAAAGACCATATTCAATCATGTCCCCATGTTCGTCAAAATGGTCGAAGAACCTAGGTCTAGCCAGGGAACGATTACTCTGGTCGTCTATGATTACGTAAGTCTGCAGTGACCTCTCAGGGTTACCTTTAGGGTATACATTGACTAGAACTATCTTTTCACATGTCTTTCCGTTGGTTCCCTTACCACAAACTTGGGTACACATAGAGGTGACTCCTGACTCTCGATCGCCCGTTACAGAGGCCTCGTTCTCGAACTCCACTTCGTGATGCGTTCCAGGGGACCGCCATGTTTTGTTGTCGATGTGGAGGGCGGTAGGGTTTTTCTTACTTTCACAAATATCACAAGTCACGTTTTCCTCACAGTCCTTCGCCAAGTGTTTAGTAGGGCCACAACATCTAAAGCAAGTCTGACATCACACCTTTGAAGGTAGTCTTCCAAACAGCAAAGAATTCAGCCTTGTCGTTGAATGTAGACAATCTTGACAATAACAGGTCCTTTTTCACCATAAGCTTTGTAAATGCAGAGCAGAAGTTGACTTGGTCTTGTTGTGGGCGAGCATCTGCAAGTTGAGTATCTGCCCGAGGGTTCAAAGCAAGTATGTGGAGAGGATGTGATGCACCTATGTTAAATTCGGAGTGGCAATTGGCTTGACCTTGTTGAGGGCGAGGATCTACAAGTTGAGTATCTGGTTCACGCTATACACACTATTACTACCATGGTACGACCTGTTCTCACGAAACAGGAGATAGCTAGGTGTGTCGAGGGATGGTCTGGCACTGGCTCCCAAATTTTGACGCGAAACATTACCCTGAGGGGGAATCGGACTGTGTGTAGATATAGAGTCTAACGGATCATACTCTCTGTGTCGTATTTCTCGCAGCGCCGCTTTAACCTTACAAGACCACACCCTCCGTTTATATATAGTTGGGGCCCCTTTATCCACAGATGCTCTACAGCAAATTTGGTCAAAATTCATCTATTGGTTGAGAAGAGGAAGGGGGACCACATCATTTTGTTTAAAATCCCTTTCTCTGTCGGGCAGAAGAAGGATTTTCATACTTGTATTGGGCCCTGTCCCTCTGGCCCAAGGTGGTCCATACCAACCGTGTATACAAAATTAGGTCCCATTGGCCCAAGGATACTCCAGACCGAATTGGGATGAAATCCCTTAATCTATACGGTAGAAGAAGGATTTTACAGGTTTACCTCTATTTTCCGTATTCAGCACTACCCCACTGACCCCAGGAGGGCCACACACAGCGTTTTTACAAAATTGAGTGCCCTTGGCATAAGGATGCTCCAGAACAAATTACGTCAGTCTACTGGTCCGTTCTAATGAAACGTTGACGGACGCACGCTGCGCCATGACACAAATTCACCGGTGCTTCGGACCAGGTGAGCTAATAATTAGTAATTGTTGGTAACAGAGTACATAAACTCAGGACAATAGTGCGGATTTAACAGGCTACCTGAATGACAGAGTACAAACCTAACGTTTCCTCCTACAGTACTGGTACTGGTTGGGACTTAGATCAAGGGATGCTGTGTTTGAAGTGGACAGTTGTATTAACATGTTTTTTTTATTTTTTTTTATTTATTTATTTACCTATCTATTTAGCTTTAACTTCTGCTTTGCATAGCGCTTTTGTATACCAATAACGGGCAGCATAGTTTTAGCCCTCTATTCTTATTACATTACAGCTCAATATGTTTTTACTTACTAGAACTTATCGTCTTATTTTAATTTACACTATATTTGTGTATATTATGTCAATTTTTACTCTTTTGCTATATTAGCATGAATGTACATTACACTTGTAGTGCTTTAATCCTCCTATGATATAGCAACACCTGCGTGAAATACAGGTGTTCACTATTATCTCATTACATCATCTTTAGTATAGTGCTTTAAAGTTAGTGCTTGTGATATCTAATTAAATGCTCCTATATTGTTGTATGTTTACTCGCTGATTATGGGCTAGCTTTCTGTCAGTGTATAGCTTGTTTGTTGTTTTCTGTTTGCTTTTTATCATGTTTGTCGCAAAAATAGCGCTACAGCGCTAATAATTCTCTGTTTAATATATACGACGTTAAATAAAGTTTCTTGTATCTTGTATCTTGTATGGTACATGTGTCAATAGAAATCACTACTCAATCTAGGAATAGACAGATTCTTAACTGTAAATCAAATACAGTGAAAAGGCATAAAAGCATTGAACTGGTAGTATGCAATTTGACGCGAATGTGTTGTTTTTTTATCATTAGATTTGAATCTACCCTCAATAGCCGTCTGCTTGCCTATATAACTATATGGCCTGACCACCATGATGACAAATTATCTTTTGAGTAATGGTCC